TAGCTTCATTTTCTACCTGTTATCTGATGCAAAACATCTCACCTTTTTGTACCAGGTAAAAAAGAAACAAACAGGCAAAACTTGAACAACTAAACAAAAACTGATTTTGTCTATCACTCGAAAAAATGCAGCTCTAATGTCCTTAACAGTTTATAACTGTATCCAGGTATTCTTTCTTTTTTATTTCTCTTTCATTTTCTCCTCCTCCTTTCTCTATTTTTGCTTTCCTTAAAGTTCAGGTTCACAGCTCCCTTTCCTCTGTGGCCCTGCTCTAGCGCAGTAGCAGAGGGACTGTGTTGAAATAGCAGCAGCCCACCATCAAAACTTCTTTCTTTTGCTGTAGACAACCATTTAGAGGCACTCTCTCACTTCAGACACATCCCCAGCCCTAAGTCACTGGGTTCCCTTTTCCACTTGTAGGGGACTGCCCTTGGGGCTCATCCACTGTGTCCTACATTTGCACTTTCTGATCTGAACTCTCGCCATTTAGATCAGAGATCAAAAGACAGATCTAGAGAAAATTTCTATCAAAGCTATGCCCAGTCTCCCCACTAGTCATTCATCATACACCCAATGTTTACTTAACATGGTCCTCACAGTTGCAGATAAAAACTCTCAAAGCTGCTCAAGTGAGTTCATCTGCCACTACGCTTCACACTGACCACAGCTTTGCCAATGGACCAGGGTAAGGCAAATGACAAATGGGTAAACTATACACAGGCAAGGATGCATCCATCGGAGCTACCAGGGACTAGTTCCAAAAGACGAGTCTTTTAAATGTGCATCCCTCCTTATTCAGTCATATTACCCTATCTGGGGCCAATTACATATTCTCTTAAACACATTCAGACTTCAATCAAGTCCGTCTCTTTAGGGATTGTGTGTAACAGCCGTTATTGATTTCCAACAGTTCCAGATTTTCTATTCTACTACATATTTTCACAAGCAAATAGGGCAAATAGGGTGCAGATTAGTATAATATTTGTATTTTCTTTTTCTAAAATGAGAAGGAACATAATGCATGTAAATCATACTTATAAAAATAAATTCACTGATATCTCACCCATAAAATAGAAATGTGTGTATATATATATATATATATGTGTGTATATATATATATATATGTTATGTGCCCTACATATATTATCTCATTTAATACTTATAACAATTTTATGTATTTTTTTCATCATAGAGAGAAGGTGACTGAGGCTTAGAAAGATTAAATAACTTGTCCAAGGTTACACAACTCTGTGTTGGAATCCAATGGCACCGTCAGCTTCAATCTGTACTCTTTATTTCTTCTCTCATTGCTGTTAACAAATAGAATGGACAAATGATAATTTAGTGGCTAATAGGTTCAATTGTCTCCTGCAGCCAATGCTGGCCTAAGAAAATCAGCAAAAATGAGGTAATAAAGTCACCAAGTGCATCTAGATGGCAACTTGATTATCTTGTTTTTAGTCCTTACTATGGGATGTTGCCATTGGTGAGTCAAAATGGTTGAATATTGGCAATTTTATATAATTCAGTCTAATAAATATGCCTATATGTATAAGTATATTTACTTATACATAGTATATTTACTTATACATACAAATTTGTGTTCATAATAATAATCAATGCTCATTTAGTATATATTGAATTTAAGAAAATATTTTAAATACTTTTATAATTTTACAGTCTCTCCACCAAACCTATGAGGTTGATGCCATTATTTTCCTCATTTTATAAAAGAGTAAATTAAAGCATGAAAGGTTTTATAACTAGCTAAAAGTCACATCAAAAGTGATAGAACCAGGATGTGTTCCTCATTAGTCTGATTTTAGTACTGATTGTCTTGACCACAATAATATACTGATTCATATTTGATATATGTATTTGTCTATGTTTGGGAAAAATTCATGCTAAGATAAATACTTTTGTTTTTATACTTTCAACTTTTTGCATTTTTCCTTCATATATCTTCTTTCATTTAATAGATCTTTCTTATTTTTATTTAATATTTAAAGGGATGAAGTTTAAAATAGTTAAGTAACTAACTCAAGGTCACACACTGATTAATGACTGGAGCAGGACTCAAATTTAGGTCAGTAGTTTCTCAGGTTTCTTTCTATCTTACTATGAGGAATGATAAACCCAAATTTATGAAAATTCAGATGCATAATTGAGAAGCAGTTTATTTAAAGAGAATAAAATCTATCTTGTCTTGTAAGCTAATTGCTACAGATGTGCATCAGTGATAGCCACTGAAGACTCATTAGCCTTTTGTAGGAAGTTCAAGTCCCTCTGCTTTTTGAAGTTCCCACTAGTAATAGGAATATTTATGTCGTTATTGACTTTTCCCTCTCTCTCATTCCCCAAATTCAATTATACATTTTAAAATCTAGCATGTCTTCTCCATCCCTATCATTTATTTCTGCCCTAGGTCCTTTCTTTGCCATGGATCATTGCTGTAACTTAGGTACTAATCTTTCTGCTCCTGGTTTTGTCCCTTAAAACCATCCCATTTAAAACTATTTCAGAAATTAACTTAAAATACAAATTTATTCATAGTACTTCCTTTTTCAGAACCCTCAGCAGATCCCCATCCACTATAGCATGAAGTCTGAGTTTCTTAAATAGAGCACATACATTTTCAACAATTGAACTTCTTTCTGACTCTCAGCCACCTCTCTTCACCTCTCTCAGTCTCAATTTTGCATTTCCAGCACCATTGAACTTACATGCACTGCAGTTTTCGGCCCCATTACATTTGCTCAGATTATTCTCTGCTGCATCATCAGGATCATATTTATTTTTTCAGGCTTATTTTCTAAAGCAGTTTTAGGTTCATAGCAAAATTACGGAGATTTCTCACATACCTTCTACCCTCACACATACACAGCCTCTGCCATTTTCAATGTCCCCCATCAGAATGGTTCATTTGTTACAATGAATATAACACATCATTATCACCCAAAGCCCATAGTTTATATTGCAGTTCACTCTTGGTGTTGTACTTTCTATGAACTTAAACAAATGTATAGACATATGCCCATCACTACATTATATGGTGTTATTTTCACTGCCATAAAAGTCCTCAATGCTCTACCTATTCAGAAGTCCACCCCTGGCAATTCATGCCAGCCACTGACCTTTTTACTGTCTTCACAGTTTTGCCTTTTCCAGGATGTTGTATAGTTGGATTCATACAGTATGCAGTCTTTTCATATTGCTGTCTTTCACTTAACAATATGCATTTAAGGTTCCTTCATGTCTTTTCATGGCTTGATAACTTAATTGCTTTTAGCACTATGTAATACTCCATTGACTGGATATACCAGTGTTTATTTATTCATTCACCTACTGAATGACATCTTTGTTGCTTCCACATTATGGCAATTATGAATAAAGCTGCTATAAATGTCTATATGCAGGTTTTTGTGTGGACATGTTTTTAACTTCTTTGGGTAAATATCAAGAAGCACATACTTATTTGCTGGACCTTCTGGTAAGAGTATGTTGAGTTTTATAAGAAACCACTGAGTTGTCTTCCAAAATGGCTGTGCCGTTTTTCAATTCCGCCAGCAGTAGATGACTGTTCCTCTTGCCCCACATCCTCTCCAGGATTTGGTGTTGTCAGTGATCCAGATTATGGCCATTCTAATAAATGTGTGGTAGTTATCTCATTGTTTTGATTTGCATTGCCCTGATGGCATATGACATAAAGCATCTTACCATATGCTAATTACTATCTGTATATGGTTTTGGTGAGTTATCCATTAGGATCTTTGGCCCATTTTAATTGAGTTTACTTATTGTTGATTTTAAGAGTTTTTGTACATTTTGGATAATTGTTCTTTTTCAGATGTATCTTTCAGTCTGTGATTTGTCTTTTCATTCTCTCAGTCTGTGGCTTCTTTTCTCATTATCTTAATACTGTCTTTCACAGGGAAGTTTACAATATTAATGAAGTTCAGTTTATCAATTATTTCATGGATTGCCTTTGGTGTTGTATTTTAAAAGTCATTGCCATACCCAAAGTCATGTAAGTTTTTCTCATATGTTACCTTCTAGGATTTTTATAGCTTTGCATATTACAATTAGATCTATGATTCACTTTGAGTTAATTTTTGTGAAAGGAGTAAGGTTTATGCCTAGGGTCATTATTTTTTTGGATGTATATGTCCAGGTGTTTCAGTATAATTTGTTGAAAGACTTTCTTTGCTCCATTGTATTGCCCATACTCCTTTGTCAAAGATGAATCGACTATATTCACGTAGGTCTATTTCTGAGCTCTCTATTATGTTCAAATATATTTATCTATTCTTTTGTCAGTATCACACTGTCTTGATTACTATATCTTTACACATATTTAATTTTTATAATATATTGTTGAGATAGGTACCATTTCATTCCATTTGAGAACAGTGTCAGGCTTGGGTTGACTTAGCTACCATCTGGAGGTGAAAGGGAGGTGCACTTTTTCATGTTTATAGAAATTGACAGTCTTCTCTTGATTTTCTTTTTCTCTGATGAAAATTTTTCCTCTTTGATGTCTGTCTGATAAAATGATATGCATAATTAATTTTCAATGATTCTTATGACTAAATTTAGCAAATATACTCTGTGTCATGGAGGTAAACTATGGCAGCTGATTACCATTTTCTAATGAGAGTCAGGGTTATAATACTTACTATTATCACACTCAGTTTAAGATGCAGGCCTTTACTCAGACCACATTTCTCTGAGTCATTTCTCTTTCAGTACATGTGATTCTATTCTCAGGCCTAAGTGAGATGCCAGTCTTCCCTGTTCCTGGAGCAGTAAATCTTTGTCCTGACAGGTGCATGTACTTCAGATGCTTATGTCTAATTTGAGTCACAACAGACTCTTCTCTCAAGAAGTCCAGTTTAGGCTCTGTGCTTATAAAGACTAATGTGCTCCATTTTTCTGTTTATGGACACGTTGTAATTATTTTTACTGTTTCCCACAAATGTTTTGTTTCTCTTTTCTACAAGGTTGTTAGCAACATGAGTACAGGGTCTGGATCTTGCCCATTCAAGAGTCTATTCCCAGCATTCAATGCCTAGCATATAGTAAGTGCTCAATAAATTTTTAATGAATGCATTTTATAGACAAAACATTAAGTTGCTCTGAAGTCACAATAATCCTTTGGAAAGGTAAATACATCAATAAAATTAAATATCAGTTACTCTTATGAGATTATATTAATCTAGGTTTTCACATTAGGATATCTCTATTAGTTTCCACTTAGACCAGCCCACAAACCAGGGACAAGCTATTCCTTAAGAACTACTTGTTATTCCAAATCAAGTTGATTCAACTGGTCAGGAAAAAGTTTCTATGCCCTACCATAAGCACATCATTTAATATGTCAAAATTAGCTGAGTTTTTTGAATTTTCAAAATCTCTGAATGTAATGATGTATTTTTTTCTAGAAGCAATATTTTACTATTTGCAAATTCAGTGTTCATGTTGATTTTATAGAACACAACTATCATCAATAACAAGGATTGAGTGACTCTTTTTTTCTCTGTCTTTCTCTCTATCTAAAGAGATTTGTTTTAAAAAATTGAATCATGAAACTATGAGAACCAGCAATTCTGAAATCTTCAGGGCAGAACAGCCAGCTAGAAACTCACTGTTGCAATGTTGAGGTAGACTTTCTTCTTCAACAAACCTGAATTTTACTCTCAAGGTTTCAATTGATGAATGAGGCCCTGCATTGTTAAGAGCAATCTCATTTACTTAAATTCAACTGATTGGACATGTTAACTACATATACAAAATACTTTCACAGCAACAGCTAGATCTGCGTTGGATTAAATAACTAGGAACCATGGCATAATCAAATTGACCATAAAATTAGCCATCACAGTCATATGGTCATGATAGATATTGATGTGCTTATAGTAAGCCTGGTTCATTGAGTGGTATTTTTATTCACAGCCATATGAATGTGTCTTCACACACACACACACACACACACACAGCAAGAGAGAGAGAGGAAGAGAGCACAGATATAACATACTCTTGCTTCAGCAAGTGAGACATTTGCGTGATCAGGAACCAAGGCTTAGCTCTGAGACTCCTTTGATTTCAAGTCTGAGCACTATCTCTTACAGGCTGGCACTGCATAACTCACTCACCTAATGTGCCTTAGTTTTCTTAAAAATAGTACCACCTTTGACACTGGGCCAATTCTTTTTAGATAATCAAAAATAGTTAGTTTTTCTCAGTATTAGATTTCTGGGGTCAGTGGAGAGAGACGTAATGCAGTGCATGTTCACACACTCTTGAAAATCAAGCCACAGCCCCTTGATAGGAATATAGGGTAGCGCCAGAGATCACCTTTGACGGAAAAGCAACCAACTCTATCCCAGTGACTTTCTGCCTGTCACTAAAATAAGCCCAAGCTAGGAAGAACATGAGAATGGGAGGTAGGTGCATCGTTTTGACCCTATCTCTTAAATAAAGAAAAGTTTTTACATACATTAGCCTCAGAACCCATCCAAAGTTCTATGATTAAAGAAATCTAATGGCAAAGTGAAATAGTATAAAGGGGAAAAATACAGATCCTAACTGCTTTCTATACCTGATAATTTTTGTTTCACAAGAAAAAAGCATTCACAAATTCAGCCTGCATAGAGGTCATAGCCATCAACTTAAAAGTCTTTAAAAAATCCAGCCAATTACCTCATACATACAATGAAAATTAAATAGGATAATAAATAAACTGAGGTGACCATGTTTCCACTGTTTTGTTTAAAGGTTGCTTGCTTGTGCATGATGTTTGCAATGCCACATAAATGCAGAATACTAATTGTGAAAGGTGAAATCAAGACCTTACTGCTCCAAATGCTCTCTCTAGCTCTCTGATTGTACCTGCTCTCATGTTCCAACCCCTTTCCTGACCTCCACATCACAGACTGACAGACCGTGGGGAAAATGAAGGGGCATTTTAAAGCAAAAATGAATCTGTCATTTTTATAGTCAAAAGTGTCAGAGCTCAAACATCAATGGTGTTTCGGAAGAGTCAGTAATGTATTTTGTATCCATGCTTACTGCAGATGTCTTCACAGTTTAGTGGTTATTCCATATGAAAGTTATTTTTGAGTTGCTCTTGCATTGTAATATAATCGTCAGTATTATGTCTTTGCCTTAAAGAATAAACTCGCTGGGCCACACTACATAAGCCATATCAATTTCTTATTTGATAGAGAGGTACTTATTGGTTATGTAAATTCACTTTCTATAGTACTTTCTGCTCTTTTTCTTTTCTTTTCTTTTTTTTCTTTTCTTTTAAACAGAATCTTACTCTGTCCCCAGGCTGGAGTGCAGTGGTGTGATCTCAGCTCACTGTAATCTCTGCTTCCCCAGTTCAAGCAATTCTCCTGCCTTAGCCTCCCAAGTAGCTGAGACTACAGGCATGCACCACCACACTCAGCTACTTGTTGTATTTTTAGCAGAGACAGGGTTTCACTATGTTGGCCAGGATGGTCTCAGTCTCCTGACCTCATAACCCAGCCACCTCAGCCTCCCAAAGTGGATTCTCCCTCCCTTTTTCAGCAAAGAAAGACATTTAGCACTATTGTCTTTACTCAAATAATTGTCATAACAAATAGGTTATTTTTTAAGTTATATATAATAAAATCAAATATGTTAAATTTTTTAATTTAAAGATATCCTAAGTTATTTGATAAATACTGACTTTTGAGTGGGACTAGATCCTACATGATCTCAGCTTAATCCAATCGGGAAGAGAGGATAAGCAGATTTATATGTTGTATTCATTGTTTCAGAAAACTCTCTGTTCTTATCTATAACTTTGGTTGCAATAGCCACCATGTTATTACAACAATCCTTATTCAAGGTGAGAAGGTTGTGGAATACAATTAACTTTAATAAATATATAAGCATAATTTTGTATAAGCATAATTTCTCATTAACATATCAATTATTTATATAGAGAAAGTGGCCAAATTTAAAACAATGACTTTTATATATTAATATATCCTGTACACATTCTGTAAAGGTAGTCAAGTACAAGAGTAATAATTTTATTTTATTAACATGTTCCCTATAGTCTATGTGAATTGTCTACATACACATACATCACAATTAGAAATAGAGTGGCAAAAAGATTCCATTCACTGTGCAACTAAAAATAAGTAAGGTTGGTCTTAGCAAGACATACACAAATATACATACACAAACACAGGTCTATAAAAATTTTATGTTCAACATTTATATATTGAAAAATTGCAAGATATCATAAAGGGACAAGAGAAAAAACTTGAATAAGTAGAAAATATTTCTTGATATGAATACTCAACATTATAACAATGCTAATTAATTTATAAAAGGCCAATAACAATTCCCAAATTAATTTATAACAGACCAATAACAATTCCACAAAGGGCTAGGTGTGGTGGCTCATGCTGATAATTTCAGCACTTTAAGAGGCCAAGATGAAAGAATAACTTGAGCCCAGGAGTTCAGGACCAACCTGAACAATAGGGAGACCCTGTCTCTACAAACATTAAAAAACATTAGCCAGGTGTGGTAGTGTACACCTGTGGTCCCAGCTACTCTGGAGGCTGAAGTGGGAGGACTGCATGGTCCTGGAAGGCAGAGGTTACAAGCCAAGATTGTACTACTGCTCACTCCAGCCTGTGCAACAGAACAAGACCTTGTTTCAAAAATTAAAAAAAAAAAAAATTCATAAGGATAAAGGGATTCACAGAATATTCTAAAGTCATATAAACTTAGTATGAAAACATTAATAAGTTTTACTTATAATTAGAGATTTTAAATTCATTATAAAATTTACAATAAAAATATTGCTACTGGTGTAAGAATAGACAGATAAAACAATGGAGTAGAAAGGAAAGCCCAGAAATAGAATTCAGTATGTGGAATTATTTAATAAATGGCAGAACCAGCTTTCAAATTTGTGGAGAAAATGTAAACTGCCTGATAAATGTTTCTGGAGTGATTTTTAAACTACTTTTTAAAATTGATATTAGATATTTTTATACCTTATTCTAAATATAGTTCATATAAATTATAGTTTAAAGTATAAAATATATAAATTAGCGAAAGCAAATTATCATTAAATATTAACTTATTTGGGATGGAAAAAGTCTTTTTAAATGATATCATAAAAATATATATCAATAAATATAACATATGTAAAAACATCTATAAAAAGACAAAGGATAAATTTAAATAACATCAATGGTTAAACACATGAACAATATAAAACTTCACAAATCAATAAAATGATAGCTAAAACTTCAAACAGAATATTTTATTTATCTGATTCACAAAGCTTTTTAATAATTATTCTTACTTTTTGTTTCTAGCTTAGGAAAATAACATTATTATGAATTACAATTGGCATTTTGCTATCCAAAACAGCAAATGTGTATAACTTTGACTAATGATCTAATTTATAAAAACTTATCCTGCCGGGCACGGTGGCTCAAGCCTGTAATCCCAGCACTTTGGGAGGCCGAGGCGGGTGGATCACGAGGTCAAGAGATCGAGACCATCCTGGTCAACATGGTGAAACCCCATCTCTACTAGAAATACAAAAAATTAGCTGGGCATGGTGGCACGTGCCTGTAATCCCAGCTACTCAGGAGGCTGAGGCAGGAGAATTGCCTGAACCCAGGAGGCGGAGGTTGCGGTGAGCCGAGATCGCGCCATTGCATTCCAGCCTGGGTAACAAAAGCAAAACTCCGTCTCAAAAAAAAAAAAAAAAAAAAACTTATCCTAAGACAGCAATCAGAGAGCTATTTAAAAAAATCATGTACAAGGAAATTTGCTACACTATTATTTGCTAGAGTAAAAAATTGGAAATAACTTGTGTCACCAATAGAGAATTATTTAATGAATTTATAATAGTATGCCACATAACTAAATATCATGTACCCATAAAAATGATGCATTAGAATGTTTTTCAATGTCATAGAAAAATGTCTGTGATTATCTTTGAAAATGTTATTACCCAGTACTAACACCAAAGGTCATAGAGTCTGAGCATACAGGACTAAGCTGTCCACAAACT